TTCTTTAGTTCGTCTTATATTAGAATATGGATGTTGCGCTTGAAGCTCTCAGTATGGAATACTTCGTAAACGCATTGAATCGGTTCAAAAGAACTTCATACTTTAAGCTTTACGCGGTTTAAATTTTGATACACTAATGGACTCCTCTTAACTAACTTACCATCCTTAGCCAACCGCAGAAATATGCTTGGCTTTACCTTTATATACAACCTCATTCATGGTGTCGGGGAAAGTGCTGACTTGTTGAGTCAGCTCAATTTCCAATCCAACCCGACTGGCAGGCGAAGTCCTTATATGGCGCTCAAAGCTTGATGCAGATGTTACCCTTAGAATATTAGATAACTTATTCTTAAAGAGGAACTTTCGCATCCAGCCATTCCGATAACTTGAAATCCAATTAAGAAATCACTTGGAAATTATAATGGAAGCCCTTTATAATATAGGAAGAGAGCTCCAAAAGATTTGTTGTTGTTGATCTTCGCTTAATAAAACCATCGGTCGAGGGTCAACAGAGCCCGCTTTATTCTCGGCAAGATAGCCAAGAACGCGGCTTAGGGCAAGTCCGAACCTCGGGACGCCGAGGACAAGGCCAAATTCCTTGCGAAAATCTAGGAATTTGAGGCATATAAAACGGCGTTCCAGCCCTCAATGGCTACGCGCATTCGTTCACAGAAAGTGAGCGAGAGCACACCTAAGAGGGCGAAGGACCCACAGGGCAAGCCGAGATCCACAAACTTTGTCAGCAAGGCAAAGAAGTTTAGCGTGGTGGCCAGAGAAAGTCTGGCTATGGCTCTGGTGGATAAGCACCATGACGACGGTCGCCGGCTGTCGGAGAAGTGGGAGAAGATTGAGGCCAAGTTGGCCGTCATGGTTGGTTAGCATGCCGACCTGTCCCATCCCCTCATTCGACTCCTCCGACGTGATCAGGGGGCACCGGGTCATCAGATTTGTCTACGGGTTCTCCCGGAGCATCCTTGCGGATTGTGTGGCTAAGATTAGCGACACTTGAGCTGGCTTTAAGATTAGGCTCGACCACGCCAGGGAGATCCCAAAGAGACACAGAGCTCGCATCCGGTCACCGAAGGGGCAAACAGACCACGCCAGGGTGATTGCCATTTTTGAGGACCCAGAACCCCAGAACCCCCAGAACGTCCATACAGAGGACTGGACTATCATCAAAGCTGAACAGGAGACGAAGGTGAGCCAACCTTTTCTTCTGCTGCTAAACCAGCGCTGCCTGCCTCAGCTGGAGGCCAATGATCACAAGGTCCGGTACGGCCTCAGGAAGTCCAAAATAAAGGAGGAGGTCGATGACACCAGCAAATTGTTGGACAACATGGTCATCGACGACAAATCTCCTGACGCCACCCCCACCAACATCGATGTCGAACATCGTACAGATTAATCTGAAGCGCAGCTCGCACGCTTCAGCAAATCTCACGATCCTTCTAAGGGAGAGGGATAGCGACATCGGTTTGATACAGGAGCCTTGGACCAGGGACGGGCAAGTCGCCGGACTAAGGATCCAAGTATACACACTACTGTGCACAAACTCGAATGGTAGGTCGAGAGCTTGCATAGTAATTAAGAATCATTTTAATGCTTTTCGCTGTCCCAATCTCAGCACACCTGACCTAGAAGTGGCCAGATTCGTGGCGGCGGATAGGAGCGGAATCATGATTGCATCGGCATACATGGCCCATGACGAACCGGCCCCGCCTGAGGCGGTAGTCAAGCTGCTGCAAAGGGCCGAAGAAATGAGGACGACCCTGGTGCTTGGGTATGATGCGAATACGAGGCATACGCTCTGGGGAAGTTCAAAAAACAATGAAAGAGGTGAGTCACTCTTTGATAGTATTATATGTAGAAACGTTACGGTATGTAACAAGGGTAATACGCCGACATTCATCTTTCCAAGCACGGAAAATTTTCAAGGTTGGGAGGAAGTGTTAGATCTCACCATGCAAATCGAACACGATAAATACAGGGTTGAGAACTGGAGTGTATCGACAGAACACTCACACTCTCAGAACATAGGTACATTTTTTTTGACCTAACGGTACCAGTAAACAAACAGGTACCAAGGAGAAACCCCCGTAAGACGAATTAAAACAAATTCAGCGAAATTGTTCAATCTAAATTAAACGGCAGGAGAACCAAGATACAATCCACCTCAAAGACTCTCGACAAGGAGGTGGAGGACCTCACGAACATCCTGAACAACGTCTTCCAAGAGACATGTAGGCTATCATTCTCGAAGAAGCAGTACCCACCGTGGTGGACAAAGGAACTAAGCGAGCTCAGAAAGAGAGCGGAAAAGTCCTTCGCTTTACGCGGTTTAAGTTGTGATGCAAATCAAAGATTACCTTCTTACACTAATGGACTCCTCCTAATTAACTTACATCCTGAGCCAACCGCATAACTATGCTTGGCATTACCTTTATCTACAACCTCATTCATGTTGTCGTGGAAAGTGCTGACTTGTTGAGTCAGATCAATCAGATGCTATATTCCTTTGGTATTGCACCATTGTATTTGCATGAACCTCTTAATGTACACATTAATCTCAAACGTGGATAGCCTACCAAAACTAAAAACTTTAATTCTAACACACGTAGTAAACTTGCAGGCTAGCAATTTGGCAGCACGCCAGTAGCTAATTTCCTCGTTTCTTTTCAATATTTCCTATCGCGCTTACTAACAGTTAACCCAACAGGCACGTACTTGGTTTCATACGGGCCACTTGTATGTACAGACTGTAGTGCATCAACGTCCATAAATAAAAAAATAAATTATTAATTTAGAAGACGATCTTATAGTATACTTATTAAACAATATTAAGCAAATGTTTGTCGAATTTACGTTCTGTGCAGCATATAGGTATTTACCCTACAAGTAATTTATTCGATGCCATAATATTAACTTAGTGCTGATAAGTACCGAATTGTGATGTAAGCATCGAATAGTGGTGTAAGGTGCAGCACAGACAACGCACTCGAATATAATGTCGTAACTTCTCTATCACCTGTTATGTTGCCAAGCCGTAAAAGATTTCACAAGGACTCCGGCTCCCTTTTAACTAGCAAAAAACTGCGGGGGCAGCCACGTTTACCGCGGGAGAGGTAGCTCGAAAAAACTGAAAAAACTAAAAAACAACAAGGCATGACGAACGTCGGGGAAATGCTCTCACCACTCTCTCCGCCAACTCAGAACTCTGGAATTCAAGATTGGGTTCACCGGATCCTCCGTGGACGCCAAGGGCCCAACGCTGCAAGTGAGTAATACCGCCAACTTTACGCAGCCTGTCGGCGCCCCGTTGCGCAGGGGACACTGCCGCCACCCACGCACCGCGCACAATTTGCGGGAGCACCACCGCAGTGCAACCGTACTCGCGACTTGCACAGCCGAACTTCACGAGTATTTGTGTCAAGCCGACGAGGTTGAAATCCTCTGTGTGAAGCTGTCTTGCAATGGTAGCTTCATTTATATTACCGATTACTACATTCCCCCATTTTCGGAACCTTCTATTTATTGGAACCATCATTCCACTATTCAAATGGTTTCCAATTGACTTTCAGTAAGGGACCAATTGGTAGTCCTAGGAAATTTTATCATTTCTGGGGCTATTGTTTCTCAAATAATTTAACGATAAATTATTTTAAAATTCTACATAACTCGATTTTATTGGTGACTTGTCGATATTTCGGTGTCCTAAGTCAACCACATACGAAATTCCACTCATATGGAAGTAAATATCTGACCGTTCTGAATTTAATTGCTCATTTTATTATATTTTACAAAGCCATGAATTTATCTTTCATTGATTGTGTTTTCTACCCTTTCTTCTTATTTATCAGCTCAGTAAAACTTAACCGTCCTGAACGCGCAGTCTTATAAAACAGACTTGTTGCAGGGTCCAGATCTCACAGGACCCAAAACAGTTTTTTAGTTTATTTTTACACTAAAAGTAAGCCTTAAAGAACTGTTTACTCACTTTCATATTAAAATAATATCATAAATAATGATAAGGCAATTGCCGATCTATTTAATGAGACTTATTCTTACAATTTGATCCTGTTAAAAATTCTGTTCTTGTCAAGAAACTGGATTTAATGGATCATCATATATAGATGTCAAGTTCTCAGAATGGGTTACTTCTGGCGTCCCACAAGGGAGCCAGTTGGGTCCCTTATTGTTTACATTATACATAAAAGACCTGACAAGAGTTCTGACTAACTCCAGAGTACTCACATTAGCTAACGACGTTAAGGTTTTGCATGCAATACAAGGACGGCGCTTGCCAGTCGGATTTACAAACAGATCTTAATAATTTCCAAACATGATACAGCGTAAACTAAAAAATCGAATGAAAACCTTTCGGTCCAAAACTTGCAATTTGAACGCTGAACTTCTGCTCTTTAAATGAATTAATTTTGATGACCTGAGCGTCCGATTCAATCATAATCTAGAGTTTATCGATCTTATTTCGGGCAATTGTTTTCGAAGGAATTCAATGACCGCTATGTTAATTTATCCTTATAAACTTCTTTAGTTCGTCCTATCATAGAATATGGATCTCATGTTTGGATCCCTCAATTCTTTTTGTTCCTTTTTTTTTTTGTATGGAAATTTGCACCAGCTAAAATATTTTCTAGTCTTCTTCAAGAAATTTAACTCTATAATAAGTTAATATTGGTAAAGCTGGGAGGATAAATATAAGTCGGCTTGTCAGAGACAACTTTTAGTTTTTTCTCTTTATCCATTGAATGGTAGGCGAACAATATTAGGCATGCCATGAGGCATGTTTTGTAAATTTCTCATTAAATTAACATCAATCAGCTTATTTATACAATTGAACGATTTTAATTACTTTGAAGTGTGCATGGTCAAAGTACTTGTGATTAATTTAAATTGATGAATTGATAATGAAGGCAATATTGTACCGAGTAAGTATAAAAGCGAAGGGAAAACTAACGAACACCTAGTTGCTATCTGATTTAAACTCGTTCAGACGATTTTCTCGTGAAAGTAATAAGCGAAGAGTCCAAGTAAAAATTAAAATAAATTGAAAAACGGGAAGGCAAAGTATACTTAAATTTTTGAAAAAAAAAAGATATGGAGTCAAAAAAGAACAAGAAATATTCAAGATCGTATCCGGATACAGATGGCGATGATATAGTAATTTCCGGAATGGCGGGAAAATTTCCAAATTGCCGGAACGTGTCAGAATACGAGTACAAGCTTTATAACAAGGTAAACAACGAAATACGAGAAACATTTTTTTTACCTTTCTTGAATATTGGGTATATAAAAAAATTTGTATAGCTTTCCCCGAAGCCTGTGTATGGTTTTGGCATGCTAATCAAATATAAAATATAATTTCATAATAGCCGGTTTTCATAAAGATGCTTTTGTCATCAACCAAACGTTGAACTAATTCCTTTTATCCTTATGAAACTCTTAAAAATTCGTTCAACTGATGGTGGAGATCTTTATGAGAAGAGATTATAATAAAAATAGATTGTACATATGTATATGTATATACCTTGAAGAATACAACTAATATGTTATTTTGTTCGATTTTTTCTTGTAATGTGCATAGGTTCCCAACGACTTAAAAAGATATACAATATAATTAAATATAAAATAAAAATGTTGAAAAAAATATATATATATCTATCCTTTACATATGTATATAATTCCTTAAAATTATTTTTTAACATATCTAATTTAATAATGAATACTAAACAAATTTTTTTAGCTAATTTTGCAGCGATAGTGCTTCGTCACCTAACGCATATTATATATCATAATTATAAAATATTTTGAGAGTTTTAGTTTCAGCAAATAAATCTAAATCACCAGCCGATATACATTTTTATTGTGAGACCATTGTGAAAACTTGGTCTTTAATTACAATTTTTGTTTATTATTGTTATCGCGCCAAATAGGGACCTGGTATTTTTCTGTAGATCTGTCGATTTGACGTGATGTATCGTCATCTTGTTCGCATTTGAGCACTGTTTTAATGCACTGAGGGAAAGCAAGAGGCCAATAGTTTCACGGGTACGGAAACGCGAAATTTAAAATACAAGAAAGTTTGGTGGCGTTAGGAGATTTCTGAGGGCACACATTAAATATTTTTTATGAAATACACTGTTTACGACCATTTGCCTCTACCTCTCACATGCAGCTCCTTTACACATCTTAAATTGTAGATCCCGCAATGAGCAAAAATGTACGGAAAATATGAATTTAGAAGTTAATATAATTTAATTACTTTATCGGAACTTTTGGATGGCAAATGTTGTTGTTGTTGGTAAAGACCATTTCAACATGTATCGCTTCTTTTTATTAATAATTGTCCTATAGCGATTGACCTGCATTCTAGCAGTAGCGCCCCCGTAGGACAACTCCCAGCCGCCCTAATATTATTTTTCCTTGCCGGCCTACACCTTTCTTATACATATATATTTCTCTTCAAGGTTTTCTTCTTCTCTAAAAAATAATATATATGGGCAATTCTCTGGTGTTGAATGCGACATTCCTACGCATTCAAACAAAAAAACACATGTGCCAAGACTTTATTTTAATCGTATAAAAATTGAAACGTATAGCTCTTGCTTAGCACTATAATTGGTGTTATGGTCGATTTTGAACCCTTGTTTGTTTTCAAGATATTCACTAAAATGTACTGCGTTCTCACGCGACAAAAACAGAAGTTACATTTGCAAGAAACCAGTTTAAGCTCTGATTTCAGCGAAACGAGATGAAAAATTGTAGTAAAATAAATGTTAATGAATTACGCAATGAATTCTCTTAATAATGTATTTTGTTTGATTTTAAAATATTAAGTAGTTATTTTTATACCCGTGCAGGGTATTATAATTTCAGTCAAAAGTTTGCAACGCAGTGAAGGAGGCACCTTCGACTATATAAAGTATATATATTCTTGATCAGGATCAACAGCCGAGTCGATCTTGCCATGTCCGTCTGTCCGTTTTTACGCAAACTAGTCTCTCAGTTTTGAAGCTATCTAAATGAAACTGTATAGTTTGTCTTCTATATACTCTCGCTCGTATATATGTCGGAACGGGCCGGATCGGACGACTATATCATATAGCTGCCATAGGAATGATCGGAAAATTTTTACATGAAAAATTATAACATTTTTAGTTTTCAACAGAATTTAATTAAATTTGAGATAAAGCCATTTCATAATATTCTACAATTTTGTGTACAATTTTATGAAAATTGGACGACTATATCATATAGCTCCCATAGTAACGATCGAGAAATTAATTCAATTAAAAAGTATAAAATTTTTAGTTTTCAACAGATTTTTATCAAATTTGATACATAGCCATTTTATAAGAAATAAAATAGGTTAATAAAATTAAAGATTATAACTTCTTCCGTTTTCACCAGATTTTCATCAAATATGAGATATAGCCATTTTATTTTAATCTACAATTTTGTGTAGTTATAAAAAAATCCGGACTACTATATCACATAGCTGCCATAGGAACGATCAAAAAATGAATACAATTAAAAATTATAACGTTTTCACTTTTCAGCAGATTTTCATTAAATTTCAGATATAGCCATTTTATATCAGTCTTAAATTTTGTCAAATTTTATGAAAATCGGACTACTTTATCACATAGGTGCCATACAAACGATTGTTAGATGTGGAGCCAAAATGCCAATCTGTGAATGTAAAACTGAAAATATAATGTGTATAGGTGATTGAAATGAAAGCAGGTATTACTTCATTGTTTTTTAACATTAATATATACATATATTTTATATTGTATGGAAGAAATCCAGGAAGTCATCGAAGTTCTATCTGCAAGGGTATATAAACTTCGGCGTGCCGAAGTTAGCTTCCTTTCTTGTTTAAATTCGATTTTAGTCCCGGTGGCACGCAACATGTCGCACGCGACATTTTGGAAAGCGATAATTTAAACTAAAACTGTACGAACATTGGTAATCGCATGTTCTTTTGCATTTTATATTGACTCTTTGAGCTTTCTATGTCAAATTAGAAACCAAAAGTCAAAGCAATATGCTTTGGTTTAAGAAATTGGCATCAAAACAAAACATGCCATTTGCGTTTAAGCGTGTTTGACTTCGATTTTTTCGGAATTTATTTATTTTTTTAAGCAATTTTAAGTTTTCGGCAGCGGTGCACCTTTCTAGAGAATTGCCTATATGCCAAAAACTCGAAATATTGTGTTTCCCTTTACTAATTTAATTATATTAACTGTATCAGCTCTTCTGAACTTCTGAATTCATCTTTTGGACAAATTTTGGTATTGCCCGCCATAACTTAAAATATGTAATGAAAGTGCAAGTCAGACCTAGAGGCAAATGGCAAATGAGGCAGCCTATTTTATTCGAATTTTTATTCCTTTTGGTAGCCGCTTGCAAAATACTAAAAGTGTGCCGTCGAGAATCTCCTAACGCCTTCCAACTTTCTAGTATTTTTATTTTCGTGTCTCCGTACAGGTTTGGAAAACGGCGCTGACAAACTATTTTCAACTTTTTGCCTCTCGATCGTGGTTATACCCGATCCATACCGTGCTTAAAGGAGAATACAATATTTTGGCTTTTTGGCAAATATATTATTTTGTAGGGAAGAGGGAAACCTTGAATATAAATATATGTATATAATAAAAATGTAGGCCAGCACGGACAAATTGGGACAGCTACACGGCTCGACTTGACGATCTGAGAGATCTCTATGTTCCTGGAACTTATTGTTTAACGCCAGACTTTTGTCAGGACGATATCGTAGACCCTGTTGGATGTTATTCTCAGCTCCTTCCGAGACTGACGCGATGGGTGGACCGTAGGCGTAGCGACTGGTGCCACCATGTCCTGTCGTAAAGCGGACACCGAATCACCCTTGTCGAACCATCTGTGTTTCTTGGACAGGTATTCCGAATGGCTATAATATTAAATCGTCTTGGAGCTGTCCGAGGGAGGCGCTACTGCTAAAATGCTGTCAATCGTTTTGGGACAATTTGAAGTTAAAAACCCAGCAATAAAAGTTGAAATGGTTTTAAGTTTCAAAAGAGCCGGGTCAACAAAATATGACCGCAACATTTGCCCTCCAAAAATGCCGAAAAAGTAGTGAAAAGACCGATCACACCTCAAAAGAATAATAATAATAATAAAAATTTTCGCGCTCGCAAACATACTGTACTTTACCCTCTCCATACAGTTCTTATTTCACAACCCGCTAGAAAAATACTTAATGTGTGCCGTCAGGAACATCGTAACTTTCTAGTATTTGTTAATTCGTGTTCCCGTACAGGCCTTAAAAACTGCACTGACGAAGAGCCGTTTTAAAATATTTGCCTCTCGCTGTCTCTTACTGCTTTAAAACGCTGATTTAACCTTACCATACCGAACTTTAAATTTACTTAATTTTGCAAAGCTAGAACCTCGTCATATAAAAATTCCATTATTTCATTAATTAAATTTTTTTATATTAGTTTCAACAAATAATTGCAAACACCTAGCAAAAATCAATTTGCATTGTAAGACCATTTAAACGAATGGCCTCTAAGCTCTTTATTACATACTTTTTAAAACATTTTTTTTATTTAGCCTAGTACTATCATAAGTTAAATATTATACAATCACATAACTCCATATAAAATATGAAAGGAAGCTTACTTCGGTAGGCCGAAGCTTCTATACCCTTGCAGATTCTATCACTACGAATTAATACAATATAAGCTATATATAATTATGTTAAAAAACAACGAAGTTATGCCTACTTTCATTATATTCACTACAACGTGTTATGTTAATAGTCTTACAAGTACAGTTTTACATTCATAGTGTTGCATTTTCCTTATATATTGTATATGGCAGCTGTACGATATAGTCTCCCGATTTTCATAGAATTAAATACAAAACTCTAGAATAATACAACAATCTCATGCTGAAAATCTGGTGAAAGCTGGTTATATATTTATATTTATAATTTTTTTTTTCTAAAAATTTTCCGATCGTTCCTATGGCAGTTATATGATATAGTTGTTCGATCCAACCCGTTCCGATTTATATACTAGTGGCAGTAACTGTAAAGTTTCATTCAGATAGCTTAAAAACTGAGAGGCTAGTTTGCGTAGAAACGGACAGACGGAAAAGGCTAGATCGACGTGGTTTTTGAAGCTGATCAAGAATATATGTATATATAAACATTAAGCTAAAGTTTTAATATCCTTTAACGGTATAATTATGTAGCGAAAAGTGAAAGAAGAATTTTTCACTGGGTCGAGTACTAACATAAGATAAATGTTCAATGAAAAATGTAAAGGGCTGCAGAATAGAACAATTTTAAGGCTTTGATTTTAAATATTTTTAAAGCTAGAATGAAGGGAAATTCAAAAAATAAAAACATTTCTCGCGTTCAGTGCTTTTCTATCCTGCAAGAAGAGGGTAGAATTTATGAATGACAAGGCCCATTAAGTGAGTTTAATTTACAAAAGTAATTTAAAAACGAAAATAATTTGTTATTGGGACGCGACGGCGTTGATGCCTCCGGTTATTGCCTTCAGCACCATAGCGGCAAATATATTAATAAATATTATTCCAATATATAATACGTTCAAATAAATTTAAAAAAATTTTAAAAAGTTTTTTTTTACAAGAAACATATCTATAAAAAAATCCATATAATTGTTCGTTGTATGTAGAGGAAAATGCAAAACTGTGAATGTAAAACTGTGAAAAATTATCTTTCGAAGTGAACGGACGTGTTTTTTTCTTGCGCTCTCGATTTGTGTAATATTTTGCATAAAACCACCTGGGCTTAATTAATCTTCTGCTTTTGTTTACAATAACTGCACTTCGCGTGTGCCTGCAGATATTCTAATCTGTGTACTTTATTGAGTTTATTTCTCAAATTTTAATTGTGATGCTATTGCTTTGCATACTTGGCATTTCCTTTTGTGCCTTTTCTGTTTAGTCGTTGTTTGTGCCAAAACCGGCAAAAAGCCATTGTGACAACATCTTGCACGCCAAGTGTGTTGATTCGAATGTTCTTGGAGCTGGATACTCAATTAAATAGCCTAATGCTAATAAATAAGTCTCCAAGTCTGGGGGTCATAAATAATGACCCTCCAAGGTGTCAGGACCGGAATGCCAGCCGACATTGCCACGACGGATAACCAATCTGCCTTGCCAAAAGACTTATAGCGGTTCCATCGACGAGAAATATTTTTGTTTTACGGCTCTCACCTGATCAAACATCGAAAGATGATCCTTCAGCCAAGGCAAAACCAAAAAACACAATTTTTCTTACGCTAGGTAAATTTAATCTTTAAAAATTAATGAACCTAACGAGCTCATTGACACAATTTGCTCTAGCAACTTCTGGTCAGGGTACGTTGTTGTCATAAAAAGTGGCCTGTAGGAATACCTTTTCCCAGGCGTGATCAGAGCACTGCGCCTTCTACGCCTACGAATCCCGACCTAAAAAACTAACTCTCTCCCTAGGTATCAGAATGCCAGAGGCTTCGTAGTAAGCTTACTAACTTGTATTCTGATAGTCTTTAGTTTGCTTTTCAGGTTATTGTGTTTACAGAAACCTGGTTAAAGCCGTAGATTCTGATCTCCGAAGTTTTTCGGCTTGATCGGCCAATCAAGCGTGGAGGTGGAGTTCTTATAGCGGTTGACTCCTCACTCACGTCAGAATTATAAACATTCGGTGAATGTAATGATGTTGAGTTCCTCTGTGTGAAGATATCTATCAATAATAGCACCATTTTTATTTCTTCCAATTTATTGGAACCTACCGCTATTCAGATGGTTTCCAGTAGACTTTTGGATAGAGACCAGTTGGTACTTCTAGGTGATTTTAATATCCTTGGTGCTATTTGGTCCTCAAATAATTCCACCAACGCTCTCCTAACTTCTACACAACATGACTTTATTGCTGGCCTTTTCGACATTTCGCTGTCTCAAGTCAACCAAGTACGAAATTCCTTACGGCGCCTGCTCGATCTTTGTTTTATCTCAGATACGGCGAGAGTCAGTTTAGTCAGGGTGGCGCCTCTGACGCAATCCGAAGATCCCTACCATCATCCTACCTTAGATGTGACTCTTGATATTGGGTCTGGGTCTGACTAACAGAATATATATGACCGTCCAGCCTAAAAAGTCCTATGTTTTGCAAGACGGACTTTGAACGGCTGGATAATTTTATATATGATTTCAAATGATCCGATCTATATATGCGCAATGATGGCGTGGATATTATTTTCAATAATAATAATAATAATTTAATAAGTCACTTATTAAATCTATAGTAATTCTTATTTATAAACATTAGCTGGTCAACGACTTCGGACTTCAACCGAGGACGGCGATCCGAAATTATTTGGCCTGCTTTGCTGAAGGCTCTTTCTGATTCACACGACGTGGCTGGAATACATAAGAATTTTTTGTTAGCTCCTTGAAGGGCTGCATGTTGTTTGAACACAGCTAGAAGTAGAATAATTTATTTTAAAATAATCATAATACACAATTTCTATATTTACCATCCATCGTTCCCGCTTTCTACATGTTGTCTGAGCAATATAATTGCGTCAGAACGCGTAGTCATTGTTTTTGAACTTATTTTGAGTTGAAAATTCGTAAAATAGCTCGAAGTTGGATTGGGTGGTGTAGGCGCTATCGGCGCTGATGTGGATGGTTCTTGAGCCAAATTTTTAAAAACATTGTGAAGCTCGTCTTCTAATGCTCGATATGCTTGATCGGCATTATTCGTTCTTTGGAAACCCTGTTTTTTAAACCTAGGGTCAATTAACGTTGCCATCCTAGGAACGGTGCGCGTTTCATAGTACCCAAAACGATCATTAAAGCGATCACTTAAAAAGCTGAATGCCAGAATGGCTTCTATGCTTTTAAAGCTATGTTTATAAGAAAACAATTGTATTTGCATTTTGGAGACAATTGGAATGACGAGGGACATAGTGGGGTACTTCCCGCCCGAAATTAATTTTGTGGCTTTCTCGAACGGACGAAGCAATGAACAAAATTCTTCCAGGACACCAATTTCCTCGGCAGAGAAAGGTGCCGGAGGCTTTGCAGTTCCTAACAATGCAATTGAGAGTGCCCCATTGGTCTGCAAAATTCGTTCCATCATTTGGAAGGCACTGTTCCACCTAGTTGGTACCTCTTGAATTAATCCAAGGGGGTCTGCCACCATTTGAGCGTCCTTAAATTTCGCCATGGCAGTCGAACTTCGCTTTATAAATGCGACAAAAATTTGACAATTTTAGAATTTCTTGAACCAGCAAGTTAATCGTGTGCGCAAAACATGGAAAACGTTTAATTTGCAGATGTTCGCATGCCTTCTTCATTGTAACGTCGTTATCATTAACTATAGTTACAACTTTATGTAGAAGTTTCCACTCATTTAATACTTGTCGAATAGTATCAGCGATATTCAGTGCCGAGTGATTTGTGGTCGTCAAAAGACTCGCCGTCGACAAGACTAGCTGAAACTAGCTGAAACTTTTTGTTCAAAAAATGGCACGTATATAAGCTTCATTTGCACAGGAAGTCCATCCATCCGTGGTAATTGCAACGTACTGGACACCTTCGAGCTCACATTCCAGATCCTTTCTTAAATCATTGTATATCTTAGGTAGCATTACTTCTCTAAAAAAGGTTCTGCTCGGGATTTAATATTTAGGGTCCATGTGTTGCATTAAATCACGGAATCTATCGTCCTCAACCATGGAAAACGGTTGAACGTCCCGTGCTATCATGAGCATTACATACATGTCCAATGTTTTTTTCTTTTGGGACTCCTGCGGATACTCTATATTTCGTTGCAGCAAACTATCTAGGCTTGGTGACTGACCATCTATTTCTAAAACACTATAGTTTGGATGTATACGTTTGAAGTGGTCCATTAAGTTAGTTGTGTTTTCTGCCGTTTTTAACGTTTTCCCACAGTGAATGCAGGTGGCCTTAGTCTTGTCCTCGGTTTTCTTAAAGCGCTGCCACACACATGATGTTTCTCGCTTCCTTTTAGGCGACGGACCTTCAATATTTTCCCTCGTTGTACCTAAATTATAAAAAATGTACAGATGAGAATTGGCCGCCACACGTGGGACATATATACGCAATCAACTACATTGCTTGTAGTTGGCCATGTACTGCGCAGTTTTTAATTTACTTACGGTTCAAGAACTTATTCATCGTTGAAACTGAATCAGCGTCGCGCTTACACCACCAACATCACTTTCTATAATTATAAGTAAATAATTAAACATTATTATTAACAAAATAAGTAAAATGTTACAAAACACGAACCTTAAGCGTGATTTTCTTCTTCGATTTTTTTGAATAGTGATGGTTCACGAAACATTGATGGTACAAAAAAACAATCTATGTTTTTAGAAATTTAAAAGCATCGGTGCATCGAACCCCTAGTTAGGATGGGCTAGAGGACTATCGATGTATCGATAGGGAGAGGTAGGATAGGTAGGCCCAGGGGGGATGAGGCTAGTGAGCGAACCGGGAAATTCGGATGCGGATTAACAAAAAGTGTTTTTACCCTTTCTCTCGGCAAGGGCAATGAGGGAATGGATAAGTAACGGCTGGAGCTACGGAACAGGGGGAATGAACCGAGGTAAAGGGAGGTGCTAGAGGAAAAAACCCTGAGTAAAAAAACTGGAGGCAACACGTGCGCGACGAGATTTTGGTGAAATACGGAATTGAAAACGTGACCACGGTGAAGTAGCGTGGATGACGTGACCCGACCGCCGCCTAAGCGCCGCCCCGCCCTTGCCGTCGCCCTTACCGTTGCCCTTGTCGCCGCCTCAGAGCCGCCCAGAGCCGCTGCCTCGCTGTAGCGCCACCTGAGCCGTAGCCCAGAGCCGCCGCCTCAGCGTAGCCCAGTGCCGTCGCCTTAGCGCCGCCCAGTTCCGCCGCTAGAGCCGCAAGCTAGTCGCCGAAGTCGTAGCCAGAGCCGCCGCAGAAGCCCAGAGCGCCGCCAGCTCCAACGCCCGAAGCCGCCAGGGGCTACATCCGGTGAGTCCGTTCCGGATAAAGGGCGATCAGAAGGGGTGTTTGCCATATATTTTGTCTTTTTTGCTGCTGTAATACGCGCCGTTTTCCAGGCCGCATCCCCCATTGGTGCTGAGGGAAAAACAACAACATTTGAATAAGTTTAGTTTAAATTATTTATTGTTATGTTAGTGTCATTATCTTTGTCCTCCGCTTGGCCGTATCCTGGGTCCGGGATTTGTGCAACACAAGCGCTGTGATCAAAGGGGAACGGAGCAGAAGCCCGGTCGTTCCCTTTAATTTTGCAAACACCCGTACCCCTATAATTTCTCTTGGAGCTCCAGCAGGGATTAAGGACCAAAGAGGGGATTTTATTTTGGTGGCCGATTGAAGCCAAATCATTAAGGCGCTTCTCCTCCGGGAATTTTGAGTCCCCAAAGAGGCAGCCTTGGCGCGAGCGCGTCCCTGGCTGAGTCCACGCTCTCGCCGGGAGTCAGGTGATGCCGTATTATAAAAGAAGCTGTAATTTGGTGAATAGCAATTAAATAAAAATAAATTAAGCATGAAATAGAATCATTGGGGAGATGAGCCGGTCGCCAGACCGCCTGAAATAGACTCCGGCCCGCCGAAGATGGGTGATGCCCCTAGATGATCAGGAGGCATCACAGGATGGGTGGGTGCGTCGTGGCGGAAACACCGATGCCACTAATTTGTCCCAGCAGTGTCGTCCGTCTATATTTGTTTGTTTATTTACCTTTATTATACCCTTGCAGGGTATTATAATTTCAGTCAGAAGTTTGCAACGCAGTGAAGGAGGCACCTCCGACTATATAAAGTATATATATTCTTGATCAGGATCAACAGCCGAGTCGATCTAGCCATGTCCGTCTGTCCATCTTTCCTTCTGTCCGTCTGTACGTTTCTACGTAAATTAGTCTCTCAGTTTTGAAGCTATCTCAATGAAACTTTGTAGTTAGTCTTTTATATACTCTCACTCGTATACATGTCGGAACGGGATCGGACGACTATATCATATAGCTGCCATAGGAATGATCGGAAATTAAAAAAAAAAAAAAAAATTATAGCATTTTCAGTTTTCAACAGAATTTGATCAAATTTGAGATATAGCCATTTTCCTATACTCTACAATTTTGTGTAAAATTTTATGAAAATCGGACTACTATGTCATATAGCTCCCATAGGAACGATCGAGAAATTAATACAATTAAAAATTATAACTTTTTGAGTTTTCAACGGATTTTCATCAAATTTGAGGTATAGCCATTTTATATTAGTTTCTAATTTTTTGTCAAATTTCATGGAAATCGGACTACTATATCATATAGGTGCCATACAAGCGATCGTTTGATGTGGAGGAAAAATGCAAATCAGTGAATGTAAAACTGCAAATATAATATGTATAGGTGAATGAAATGAAAGCAGGTATTACTTCATTGTTTTTTAACACACAGATATATAATTTGTATTGTATGGTTTTTTATTCATAGAAGTTCTATCTGCAAGGGTATATAAACTTCGGCGTCCGAAGTTAGCTTCCTTTCTTGTTTTTTTTTTTTTGTAATTAGCGATGGATGTGCTGTTGGAGAGGATGTTGTCAGATACTGCGGGCATTGGGTCGAACCCAGCCCTGGGCCTCATAAGCTAGCCCGGCGTTGCCCAAAAAAAGTCCGCAACAATATGGCGCCCAAACAAAAAGCAAATAAAAGAAAAGCGGAATGATGATGTCGCGTAAGGTCGCGTCCCGGGGCATCCAGCCCCCGCAATCGGTGGCTTGCATGGCTTATATTGATGTCCTGCAATTGCACCGAGGACCGGGGACTGGCGGCCCAGGCGTAAGTGTTGCTTATGTGTCATTTTTTCCTTTCTCAGTAAAGACGGAAGGCTTGCTCTGCAGAAGGACGGGCAATTGCTTCTGGACCACTTTCGCAACGGTTCTGCTGTGGCAAGGGGGTGACATCCGAGCTTAGAAACGACGGATTTGCATACCTCGGCCCACAGATCCGTGCACAGATACGAGATGAAAACAATTGAGATAATTTAGGAGATAGGGATACATGTTGTTTATTTAATTAACGTAAAGATGTTTGTTTTCCATGTAATGTCAATTTGTGCAGATCCTTGTGTTTTCCTAGTGGATGGGGCTTCCTGGTATCATCCTGTTGGTGGACTCGTAACCCGACTGCGCGTTGCACGACCACCGCAATCAGAGCCTTGGTGTCCCAGCCATCAAGGAAAATCCTACGGGATACTGCTGAAGGCCCATGTCTTTAACTAGCGACTTTCAACCCAGCTGAAAGTTAGTCCAGTTGACGAATGCCCGGATTATTGATGACACGGGACAATTGAAGACGCAAGCCATCTCCCCTGAAATTAAAAAAAAAATAATAATAATTACTTATTGACATTGCAGAAATAATTCATTTTAATACTCACTTGCTATTTATTGTTATTATTTATATATTTATTTAATTGTCTATTTATTTAATTCGCTATTTAATTATTTTTTAGTTGCATGTTGATTTATTTACTTGGCATAGAGATATTTATTTAGTAAGAATAAAGCCGTTAGCTGTTAGGAATTCAGGAAATTGGATTATGGCAGGGGACAAGGGAAATAATTACCAGCTCAGGTCGAAGGGTCCTTCAGCCCAGGAAGAGGAGTTGTGGTCCATGGATGCGACGGGTGCTGTCGGTTTCGCACCGTCGCGGGCCTCAATGGGATTGCAGAGTACACCCCCATCTCGGCGACAAGACCCGCCACCGGAGGAGCACATCCATCCAAAGTTTCTGAACTTCAATGCGATCGGGGCAGCAGCTGGCCACCTGGTAGAGATGGATCCCGCTTAGCGTTCAGTACATTTCCAGGAGCCGTCCGTGGATTCCACAGCTAAGTCGGCGGTGAACCTTGCCCTGACTCAGGCGGCAGAAACGTGTCGCAAGTCCCAAGAAGCTGGGATCAGCCGGAGCTTGCGGGACGAGATGCGGGCCGGATTTCTGGAAATTATGAAATTAATGAAGGAGGTGCTGAGACCCTCCACAAAGCCGCAACACGTTCCAGGAGGAAGCGCGGAGCAGCAGCCGATGGAAGCAGGACCACAACAACACCAACAGCAGCAACCACCGCTATTTGGGCGATCGAGGGAAGCAATATACGGCGCTCGCGGAGCTATACCCAGGCAGGGGCAGACGGATGCCGGGCAAGCACAACGGTTCCACAGAGGCTGAAGAGACGCGTAGAGATGACTGCGCGGGCCGGAACTGGCGCGTGGAGGACCACCGAGCTGGCCATTTCCGTGACGAACGAATGGGATGCAGGAGACAGTTCCCATATCAAAAGATTGAATAGGCGGAACATCTCGTTCAGCGGTGAGGACGAGCGGAACCACATCGAAGGCTTCCTGTTCTGCTTGGAGTACCTCCAGAGGCAATCTCGTTGCTCGTGAGTCGAAGTGATGCGTAACTTTCACACGTTGCTGACGGGTAGGGCGTTAGAGTGGTTTTGAATCCACGTGCAGCAGCACCGACTGGACAGTTGGCATCAGCTGCGCCGAGTTCTGATAGACAGGTTCCAGAGCCATGAGACGGAGCATCAACGGATGCAGCTGCTTTTGCAGCGGGAGCAGCAGTCAGGGGATAGCGCCTGAGGAAGCCAATGCCGGAGCGCCACCTGGTAAAGGTTATGAAAAAGGGTTTAAGAGAGGGTATTGCTCGCTTCGTATATGCGATAGAGCTACTCACCGTCGATGAGCTGCGGTAAGAGAGCCTTGAGGTGGAGCGTAGCTTCGGACGCAGAGCCCGGAACCAATTCCTGCTACCAAGGAGCGGAACGGAACCGAGTCAGTGAGGCGTTTGCTCCAGAGCCGGAGGAGGATCAAGACGAGCAACCACTGCAAGTCCAGGAAGTCCGGGAGCGGCCTCGAAATCCTTTCCGGGCTGGCTGCTGGAATTATGGAGCCATGGACCACGGTTTCCGGGATTGCGAGAAGGAGCTGACCAAAATTTTCTGTTTCCGCTGTGGAAAGGCGGACGTTGTTGCGCCGAAATGCCCGAATTGTGCGGAAAATGGATGGCTGGGCGATCCAAAGGCGGGAAAATCTCGCCCAGGGAGGAACACCCGCAAATGGAGGAGCCAGAAAGGAAGCAGAAATGAAATAAGAGTAATAATACGGCTTGGTTAAGATATTTACCCCCCTAAGAGCGCAAGCGACTGTATTTTGAAGTAAGGAACCGGATTTTCGAACAACACCAGTTGAGTGGTATGCGCATGGTATCCCGTACCGTCATGAAGGCCCAAGATCGATTTAAGAAATGCCAGGAGAAGCGAAGAGAACTCATT